GTACCTTAATGCGGTGCCGGTGTTTTGTTAAATGAAATCAATTTCATAAAATTAAATCTAAAAGGCCTGCACTATCATCTTTGCATCAAAAACCCATTATTCAGTTTTCAACATGCTAATAAATTTCTAAATTACAAGCTTTAGAATAATATATAGTTAGATCAATCTCATTTCCTATACAAGGGGTTGACCTTTTTTCAATTTTTGCACGCAGGGCTCTTGTTAAGGTGAAGTTACGAGATGATGTAACCAATGTAGCTACAGACTAAGGCCTATGGTCCAATGGTTTTAAAAGCAATTAATGACACAATAATGTGCCACCAAGATAAGCATTAAAAACAACAGGAATTCAGACCAATAAACACTTGAATGACATTCCCATTGTCATTAACCGATTTTCATCTTTTCAAACTCGTAGGGAGATATTGTGACTTTTCCCATGCACGTATTTGGCTTACATGTACATGATGTACCTGCATTCAGTTGTCAAACATGTCAGTATACAATGGAACTGGTTTCGGTTGTTTAATTAAGTAAATGAGCAAACTTGATCATGCATTTTATTTTTTGCCATTCTGACCATTCCTCAGAGTCATCAACAATGTAGAATAAATAGGGCAAGGTAAGATATTGAAAAGATAAGCAAAACGACAAAATATTTGACTTTATAATCAGATCTGCACGAACTGTATGTGCAGAGTAGTTTACATTTAAAAAGAACTTGAATACATTTAAACAGTAGAGATAAGATGAGGGTTATTGCAGGGGCGTAGTATCCGGGGGGGCCAGGGGGGGGGCCCCCCCCCCCCCCCCCACTTTTTTTCCCAACCTTACTTACACTATAGGAAATGTTAATTCAAAGCCTGTTTGGCCCCCCCCCCCCCCCCCACTTTTAGAAATGTACCGAAAATGTAGTATAAGAATTGGTACTAAAAGTAGTTGACACTGAAAAAAGGTTTACCTACCCCCCCCCCCCCCCCCCCCCCCCCGCGCGTCAACTTGCTTGTCAACTTTTTCAGGTAAGTAAAAAAAAAAATTTCTCTGCCTGCCCCCCCACTTTCAAAAACGATGCTACGCCACTGTATTGTTAACTTACCTTTCAAAAAACTGAAAGGGAATTTTAGTCGCAAAATATACATGTGTTTAAAAGCATCAAAAACATAAGGAAGAAAAATCCGATATTTCTTTATTTTCAATATTCTAAGTCGATTTACATGGAATGTATTCTAAAATAAATATATATGTCAGAACAAAACATGTCTAAAACAAGATGTGTTTGTGAAACACTGATGTTCCCGTATGGCAACCTAGCGAAGATTCAACTTTTTAAAAATGCAAATTAAATATGTTGGTACCCGAAGTAAGGTCTTCTCACAAGAAAAACAATTGTGAAATATGAAAGCCCTTGCACCGTTATGGCCAAGGATAAGATTTTTGAAAGGTAGGTCAAATGTCAGGGTCAAGGTCAAAGGATCAAAGTTGTTGGTTTATAAACACATGTGTAATATAAAAGTCATAGCTCCACTTAATCAAAAGTATTTAAAGCAAGGTTAAAGGTTTTGCGGACAAAAAGACCTACAAACGGACGAACACCACAAAACTAAATACTCTGAATCTTCGATTACGGGGGCATATTAAAAATAAATATATACATATATCACATACAATGTATATAGATTTTATCAAATATATAATATCCTTTGCGATATAACTTCTTGAATGAAGTTCGATTCAGTTTACTTGATTAATTAAGTAAATCTACAAGAAATGACAACAGAAAGTTCTTTCCCGGACATTTTCGATCAATTTTATGCGATATTATCTACAGATGTATAAAAGCAGGTGGTTTCCAGACTTACTCATGGCAAGCATCATTTGTTTAAACAATTAGTATTTTAGAAATCTCGTTAATCTATCTGGGGCTTTTTTTTTTTTAAATTAAAATCAAAATGACAAGCTATTTTCATTCAATAAAACTTAGAATACTAGTATATAACAAACAGGGAAGTTACCAGTAATTAAACTCACTTTTTATATTTTAATGAAAGAAAATAAATTAGGTAAACCAAAATCGTTTTGATAAAACAAAACGTTCGTGAACATCTTTGTATGCAGGTGTTTGTTAACATTTCGCAGAGGAACTCCAACAAAATGTGTCTACGTCAGATTTTTCCCCAAGTATCGTCTGCTTTTCAATTCTTTATGATGTAAGGTTGGCAGTTTACATTGAACGAACTTGTCCGTAATGTATAAAGAGCCAGTGATGGATCGCGTATTTACAAGTTCCTTGTGGTTGCACAAGAAGTATAAATATAACCATGGATTAATTCCAATAATGAATTATATCACAATTAAGTGAAATATTGCCATTTTCAGGCATAATCTAGGCTTGAACGTATACATGAAAGCATGCATGCTAAAACTCAAATCTTATAGTACTAGAACATGGATATAATTTGCGCTTCAGAAAATAAGGGAAAAGAAAAAATGCATATGAAAAATCTAAAAATGTTGGCCCATTAAAATTTTAAAATGGGATTTTATTAAATTAATGCCCCTTCGTGGTCACATGACTATAGACCTTGTTTCAATCACTGCCAGATCTTTTCGTTTTCCAGATTTTACGACCAAATAGCCTTCTCAGGTATCTTGGATGGTAACTAAAAGGCTATCACAGCTAATTTTACGACTACTTAAAACCAGAAAATGGATGTTCGCACCTAAATTGAAAGGATTTACTGGCTTCTGTTTTTGAATGCCACTTAGCCACAACTTTCAAACTTTATGGACTATGTTGGTGTTCAATTTCTTGGTGTAACTTATGCAATATGGTTATAAAATCACAGTTAAAGCACAATGGTCAACTGAAAAGAATAAAATAAAAAAAAATAAATTTGCAATCTTTTTTTTTCCAATTAAGAGATTTCAAAAATTCTGTAAATACTAAAGCTGACCAACTGGCAGCTGTTTTAGTTCAGTTTTGTCACAAAACTGATAGGTTTCCCCCATGTATTGTTTTTCTTCATTTAGTTTTGGAGCAACACGCCCAATATGTTCAATACTTGTACATGTAAATGGTGCTTTTCAGGATGAATCTCGAGAAATATGAACACGGCATATGGTCGATACTTGCCATGAATTAACAAAACGTAATACGCATTATGTACATGTTGTAATAATTCATTTGTTGTCGGTAGACTTCAAAAACTCATTCTTACTTGACCAGGTCAGGGAGACATGGAATTGCTCATCAGCAAGGATTGAATTATCCTTAATTTCCCCCGCGTGAAATTTTATACGAGAAGCAAACGCCAATAATAAGTGCATTATCACAGTTTCACATTTTTCTCCTGTCTGTGTCAGTCTTGAATACCACCTTGTGGTGGAGTTTGTGCTAAAACTGTGCTGTACTTTAAAAAAAAAAATGCCAGAAGATTTAATTAAATTGTCTAAAATAAACGTGTCAGTGTATCTACAAAAACAGCAATAGGAATGTTCACTATTGATATTGCTTTGTTTAGAAAGACATGTTCATGTTGGTCTTACGAAATTGATTTATTGAAATGTTCTAAGTCGTAACAAAGATAAACATGGATAAGACTATGGGATCATCATTTCCCTATCTATCAATGTCCCATACCATGCTTCCTTCACTTACTCTGGATCTCATTAGGTGATGTCGCTTATAAGTGCATCAATCTAGATTATTTACTACTCACTTAGTGTATGTTAATTACAATTACATAGCGCATTCACGTGTTAAGTGCCTTATCTCGCACCATTCCCTGGCGAATTGTTAGATCTTTGCAAAAATTCTGGTTGACAGGAGACTGCCATTGACAAAGTACCAAGTTTTTGTCCTTGGTAAATTCTTGACTTCATTGAAAATGTTATACTACATACACTATAGTATTCATTGGGGAAACCTGCTTTAAATCATCAAAATATACATGGGGGTATTATGCTTGACCAAGGAACGTAGCCGCCATTAATTGAACGTGCATGTTAATGTTTGTAGCAATGTAGACAACACATTGTGTTTTGCATGATTAGCTAATTATTGCATGATAGACTAGCAGAATTCTTAGTACCAGACGGCAAAACTAATGAAACGGAAGACGGACAGGTCTTCCTTACATCTCTATCCTAACATGGCGGATTTTGCGTTCTAATCATTACGTAATTGTTTTATGTGGTCTTTTACAAAGATGGTGGGAGATTAGGACACGATCAAAAGTCCTTGAAAAGAATGATTACGTACATGTTATTATTACTTATTTATTACCTATTGTGTTTATTATCTTAGGGTTTGGAATTATTATTGTGTCATAGAGTACGATTTGTCATTCATTACTTAAATGAAGAGGTGTCAGAGAAAATATTTATAATTCTAATTTTGTTAATCTTTCAAGGAATGTAGGTTTTGTTTTTGTATTGGTTTTGATGACAAGGTAGTACATTTATAAAGGATTGTTTAGTGCCAAGCTTCAACGACCTGCTTTCATATCAAAGAAGGATATGATTGAATTATCTCAGTAACAAATGTATCGTTAGATGTAATTATCTCTTGTATTTTCTTATCTTAAACAAAATATTAAGGTAAATTTTCAAATCGAAGTCATCATTGCCAAGTGTTAGTAATTTAATTTTCAGGTTCATCTGAAATGCACTTTCTACATGCAGACCTTAACAATCGATAGAATCCTTTGTATCTAAACCGAGGCAACATTTTTACAAGCGACATTCATATGCATAAAACTATTCACACTATGTTTAATTTTATTAGTCGCTATTGAATAGAATATGACAATAAAATTACCATATATATTTGTTCGCTGACTATTCAAATATACCTTATTCACTAAAAATAACAAATAATTCTGAAGATCTCCATTGATTACTTTTACACCGGTATCGCAATAAACGCTAGAGGGGGCGTGTCCAAACACAAAAGAGGGCGTTCCTGCATAACGAATGCGGAAAGGTGAAAAAAATCTCTTGTCGAACACATAGAAAGTTTTGTTGTAATGTGGATAGGTACTGTTGTCAGATTAAAGCGTTGTATCAACATTGATGGATTTGACAAGACTTACCTGTTTCTAATTCAGGTTTATTTAGGAACCGAGTAATTACCGAAACAATATGTGGAGGACCACTGCATTATCAAGCCGGATTCACGTGTAGGGATTTCTTATTTTCACTCAGTGAACAATACATATGGATAGAAGGATCGTAAAATTTTCATTCAAAGTAAGTACATGTATTTTTGTTTAGAGATAATTTTTCAATTCATCATTAATTATTTATACATTTAAAAAAATCTCCCAATTTTTATTTTCCTATACATCTTTGGTTATGATTTCAAATGCAACATTTGAGAGTGAAAATTGAACGTTTTCCTATCATCAAATAGTTTTATAGAAGCCATTCATTTTGCCAGTTAATAGATATTATATGAATACTCAAACAGCGGGGAATAACGAATTAAATTTCAATGTCTCTAAAATATCAGTTGATTCAAAATTACAATCCCACCCACGAATGGTTTGCAAACTCCTAGTGTGAGCAGTATTGCATGCATTGAAACCCAGATTCATAAGCTTATAACAGGGATAATTTAAAACTCAGTGATTTACTATCGTGTTATTGATTTGAAGTTTATATTTTTTGTCATTTGTATTCAAGGTACAGCATAAGATTAAGATACCCCCTTTATTCCTGTGTTCCCTTGGTCTGGTGAACGAGAGATTTCCGTTGCCGGTATTTTATCGAAAACCAGCGTTGCTTATCAAACAACGAAAAGAAATTCAATCTCCTTAATGTACCCGTTTCGAATATTAATATAAATTCATTTCTCATAAAGCACACACCGTTTTAATGTAATTTAAATTAAAAGACACCTTGAACGGACTTTTTTTTTTAGGTCCAAGCATTTACGGATTCTCGTAAAAGATTTTAATTATCCTATGAAAGAGTAAGGTATTGAACAAATATTTATTCGAGTTTTTCTTTTCTTTTCAGAGATGAAAGTGTGGAGCGATTTATGAAAATGACTTTTGTACAGTGGGCCTGAAAAGGAGAAATCAAAATGCAGCATGAACTTTGTGTATTTTGTCTTTGGTGAGAATTAGCACCCAAAGATGGACACGTCTTTGAATTCACAACCACGTTTGTTACATTATGAACATTATCGGACAAAATGAGTTTAAACTTTCTCATTTCACTTGGAATATTGGCTTCCATTTCTACGGTGAAAGGGCAGCTGCATTACAAACTTCCGGAAGAGAAACCACCGGATTTCTACCTCGGCAATGTCGCCAACGACACGAATCTCTGGGACGCCATTAACGACGAAACAATAAAACGGAGCATGCGATTCAGTTTTCTATCACATGGAAACCAATATTCGGCTTATTTCCGGATTTCATCAACATCCAGTGATTTATTCACGGCCTCCAAACTGGATCGCGAATCATTAGAGCAATGTGAATACGCCGATTCGTGTGTCTTGCCATTAGAAATCATTGCTCAGTCTAGTGTCGGGACCTTTTTCAGAAAAATCACTGTATATGTCGATATTCAAGATATAAATGATAACCCTCCCAAATTTATTTCAAGCACAAGAACTATTGCTGTCTCAGAAGCATCCGATAAAGATACGTCATTTCCGCTAGATGGAGCCGTTGATAATGACCTCGGTATGAATTCCATTCAGAAGTATTATTTGATTCCAGACGACACGCCATTCAGCATTAAATTTACCAAAATCGCGTATGGCCGATCGACACTTGCTTTAATTCTCAATGGATCGCTGGACCGAGAATCGGTGACATTTTACACCATTCTGATTCAAGCGGTAGATGGGGGTTCCCCCAAACTGACAGGTACACAGACTCTGTATGTGAACGTAACTGACGCCAACGATAACAGACCAAAGTTCAGTCAACCAATGTACAACGTGACGGTGGACGAGGACGCGCCCCCAGGGTCTACCATCATTAAGCTCTCGGCCACTGACGACGATATCGGACCAAATGGACAAGTCACCTATAAACTAAGTCCTTATCAATCAGAGGACATCTTTAAAAAATTCCAGATAGATCCTGTAAATGGATATCTAACCTTAATCAAATCTCTTAAGTATGAACCTGATGAAGTGTTTAGAATCATAGTTGATGCCACTGACATGGCTCAACAACCCTTGTTAACCCAAACAACAGTTAATGTCAAGGTCAACGATGCTAGAAATAACCCTCCCCAAATCAACATTAACTTATTTTCATCACCAACATCTGCTAAAATTTTAGAGTCCACAACCAAAGGTGTCGCCGTGGCTCACGTTGCAGTCGTCGATGATGATACTGGTATGAATGGGATAGTTAATTGTTCGATTGAGATACCCGAGTTTGAGCTCCAGAAACTTGCCACCAATGAATACAAAGTGAACTTAGCAAAGCCACTAAATCGTGAGGCTCAAGATAGATACGAGGTAGAAGTTGTGTGCACAGACGCAGGAACCCCGTCTCTGAATTCATCTTCATCTTTTGTTGTTGATGTCCTGGATGTTAACGATAATGCACCCCAGTTTAGTGAAACTATTTATAGAAGATCTGTTCGTGAGAATAACCGATTTGGTGAAATTGTTCTTAAAGTGTCTGCAACTGATGCAGATATTGGAAATAATTCCAAAATAGTGTACTCACTGGATCAAATAGGGATGTACGATTTTGTGATAGATTCGGGGACAGGGGAGGTTTCTGCCAATTTTATCATTGATAGAGAATCTACACAAGAAATCAACTTTAAGGTGGTGGCGACGGACATGGGCAATCCACCGTTATCATCTGTAGCTAATGTAAATCTTCAAATATTGGACCACAATGACCATAAACCAGAATTCCTTAAACCACTCTACAAATTTACTGTGAGAGAAAATTTACCGGGAAGGACATTGATTGGCCAAGTGGAGGCCACTGATAAGGATACGGGTTCAAATGCAAACTTAAAGTACTCTGTAGTGACGAATACTGGAGTACTGCCTATTTTTGTGGCTGAGAATGGGTATATTTTCTCCAAAGAACCTTTAGACAGAGAGGCTGTTCCTCATGGATTTCATTTTCAAGTCATTGTGACGGACGGAGGGGAACCAGTTTCTTGGAATTCCACCTGCTTTGTGACAGTGTTTGTTGAGGATGTTAACGATAATGGCCCGGATATATTGTTTCCCAATAATGTTAATTATACAATATCTTTTCTTTACGATATCCCGATAAATAGCGTTATTGGAAGGATCCGCGCTTTGGATATTGATTATGGCCAAAATTCTGCGCTAAGTTATTCATTTATTGGAAGTGATATTTTTAGTGTTCATGCCGACAAAGGCGATATTTATGTGACAAGGCAACTTTCGCCACAGGACATCGATCGATACACCCTAACGGTAATTGTAGAAGATCAAGGCACCCCGAAGAGAAGCAAAAACCAAACACTTGTAATCATTGTGACTTCTCACTTGGGTCTCGCCTCTCCTCGCGAGAAGCCGTCCAGCGACACCTATATGCTGATTGCGGTTGTGATTTCTTGTGTAACAGTGGTTCTCGGGGGCTTCATTATTCTCGTAATTTTCCTAATTAGAAGACACGATAGAAATAAACACAGTTCTGTCCAGAACACTCCTAAAACTCTCCACAATGATATTAAAATGTATGATGTCATAGATAGGTCAGCTAGGACGATGTGTCCCCGGGTGGTGCCTAGTGAGGATGGGCGGGGTAGTGCTTCAATTGATTTGTCTGTCGATACCTCACAGGACCAACTCCTCGGGGAAAGAAACTCAATACAATCAAACCAAAGCGAAGAAGAGATAGAGAAGGTATTTTACCACAAATTTTTCATATCAAAATTATCAAGGCTCTCGATACTTTTTTATAATTAATTTCTTTTATAGGTACAGATAAATTACCATACAATGACAAATAGATCTATGCATGTACAATGTTTACTTCCAGTAATGAAAAAAATACACATCAGAAATTCTTATCAAACTTTTCCAACCAAAAAACGAAGTAAAATGATCCTTTACACATTAACTGATATAACATTATACCGAAAATGACAATACTGTAGAAGTACTTTTATCCGCGTGGTATTAATGTAAAAAATTTTCCTCTGCAACATATAAATGATATAACAGTATATCCGCGCAATTTTCCGAAAATGAAAATATTCAAACTTAAGCATTGCTATGCATATTTGACTTCTGCCAAAAATACAAAATCATTAGTTGACATATTACTTTCAAACTAGGTGGGATTTGATAGATTATAGAGATTGTTGGTGAATACGAATAATGGCTTGCTAAATCTGCATGTCATAGGTGCATTTTCTGATAAAACTGACATGCTTGATACACCGAAGCAAATGACAAGAGCATAAAAATGTTTTTTATGATCATTATTAATAAACAATTCATAAAACTGTAGGATTTTTATAATTTGGCCTGACTGAATTTATCTGGAGTCACGTAGGTTGCCATAACAAATGCACGGATCATTGACACAATGATAAAGTGTCTTCTCTCCTCTAGTCGTGTGCCGCCATCAAACTTTGTTGCACATCTTGAAAGGCCTAGACGCGAGACTCCAGCAATAAAGGAAGCTTACAGGGCATGTCAAATGATGTTTTAACCGAGCAAATAAAAATGAAACCTTCAATACTGTGTACAGAGTGACATAGTTCGCGACCACCAGCGAAAAAGTTTCATTATTCAACTGATGTTAAAACAAAAATTGCATAACTGAATAGAAAAGAAAAGGAAAGGCTAGGAATAAACCTTTACATGCAAGAAAATGAGAAAAATCAACAAGTTTATATCTACGCACAAATTTTACAGTTGTACATACAAACAAGCGGTAGGCAGCTATGGATTTCTTGTAGCTGTATGGTTTTTGTTGTTTGTGACGTTAAACAATTACTGAACAACACAATAAAATCAACGATATGCCGCTACCTTGCAATAATCACTTAAATAAATAATACGTCAATATTTGGCATTTTAAAAGTTATGAATGTATTAAAACTGGTTTGCATTTTATGACTTAAGAAAAGTGTTTTAAAGAGATTTGAACAGGTCTTTCAGCTGTTTGCACATCAGATGTTTGTGTTTTGTTTATTTATGCATTATTAAAAAAAACTTTACTCTACCCACGATATTTCAGACATTGGACTTCAAGATTTCATTTCGACAGTAAAATCAAATTCAAATTTTAAAAAATTCAAGTGAAAAACATAAAACTTGCTTTTGTACCTGTTTGACAACATTATCTTCAAGAGCACTTTACATATCATTTAAATGAATTTTACCACCTAACAATCGTTTTTGACAAAAATGTGCAAATGATGACCCGATAACGCTATTTTAAATGCTATAACTGTACTCGTAAAGATGGTAAAAAACGAAGAAAAGTGTACATTTAAGAGCTTAGATCTTCCAGATTATCTAATTGTAGGGTTCTGTTGAAAACTAGAATGGTTAAAAATACGAATTATTAGATGTCTTTTAACTTTTTTCTTATAAATTAACCAATGAGTATAACAACTGTACGAGTACAAACGGTAATGGCATTTTAAGAATAAGACGAGAGAGTACACGATCTATTCGGATTATCTGATAACTTCATTCTTCCCTCTTTACGATCCAATTTACAGTTTTCTTACAAGATAATTACTAAAATTCTCAGTGGCTGAGAACGATCTGAATTTCTATTCAAGGGGTCAGTTTTTTTACATATTTATTTACACCGCTAATCTTTACTCTTCCCCCGCCGAACAAACCCCGATATCGTCAGGAGTTTACTCAGCTTTCAGAATTAGGTTTTTAAATTCGTTTTGAGAAAATGCAGTAATATTTTGTAATGAGCTCTATCCAACTTTAAACCCCCCACTAGAGCTAACCAAACAGAGGGACCCCAGGATAAACATAGGCCAAATCCGTTCTTTCTTTCGGTAGATGCATAAAGCGTACCACCTCGCCTTGTTGATTCAGAGGACGAGGATAAAAAACATGAATAAGCTGTTTTGTCGTTCTGGTATTGACAATACTATTAACTCTGAAATTATGTACATCAACAATCCTATGAATTTAAATAGGAATAGCTGGGAACAAAATCTATCATGTAAATCTTGACCTCCCTTTTAAGTTTGAAGAAAAAAAAAACATTTTATTTACAAGAAAGAATATAAATTGCGGTTTAAAATACTTTTAAACTTAAAAATAATGTCCAGCTTCATATATATGCTCGTATATCTCATTAATAGCAAAGAAATATAATTGAGATATTGCTTGAGAAACGAAGATTATGAATGAGTTTGGAGCTTCACATTTAGGGTACGATGGAGCTATTTTAGAAGAAATATCCGGTTTGTGAACACTTGCTTGATTCACACGTAGTAACAAAGCCTCGGTAACAAGGAGAAAACAGAAAGGAACGAACAAAATTTGCTCTGTAAATATTTGTTCGAAAAAAATAATAATGGTGAACAAATAAATTCAAAGTTTGGAAATCAGATCGTATGGTTCCAAAACAAAAGGAATATATTGATAACATTCAGAACAAATTCTTCTGAAATGAATTTCAATAAATAAGACAGCGGTTTGTCAATTTTAGCTGTTTTTAAAACAATTGATTAATATTAGTGTCAAGTCAGGCACCTTTTGTTGCACGTGTCAACCACAGGAATGCTCTTCATAACATATGATTCCCAAAATAAGTATAAGCCATAATGATTATTATTTAAAATCAGCCACTGTAAAGAATGCAGAATCGTTATAAACTTATACCCTAGAGCCAAACTTTGCAAATCTTCAGCCCTGATTATGCTGAAGAAAGATCTTGAAAATGATATGAAGAGTTCAGTTTAGAGACCCGAGATTCTACAATGTCGAACTTGAAGAGGGGAAAGTGTCTACTTCAATAAAATCCTAAAGTGGCAGATTTAGCTTGAGGGGAGATTACAATTTTGTCTGCGGGTCCTTTCGGCGAGCTGGGGTGAGATACATGTTGACCTCGAATGCTTTTTCTCACAGGCGACACTGCTATCGTTGAGCCAAGACGCGCGATGTTGGTCACTGATAACGATTTCTTTTCTAAGTCGCCTCTTTTCTTTTGAATGAAAAGCTTCACTGCTGCGAGCTTTTCGTCGCTTTGAACCGAGATGTGTAACCATAAGTGAGAGCTGGCATTAGCATAATTGAAATTAAAACATCTTAAAAATTCCTCCATCACATTATCTAAACCCTGATGGAAAGGAAAATCTGTTGGTTAATTCAAAAGAAAAATTTTATTTTACCAATTTGTCATAAAGTGGATTTAAGCATGTGATTTAATTACTGTTTTTAAGTACATGTTTCAATGTTTGAAAATCAACATAAATTGAAATGGATTTACGAGATTTTTTAAGATTAAATTTTTCAATTTGTTATATGTATCAACTGAACAACTTTCATTTCGACAATTAATTTTTTTATAGGCTATTTCTATTTAGGATTTTTTTTATGCATAAGAATGATTTAAGGTCCCTTTTTCAATTTAACACAGTATAATCTTGAATATGAATAAACGTATTAATTTCTGATTGATTCTTAAAATAATGAGACATAATATATCTAAATAAGTACATGCATTTAATAAATTCACTTTCACAGCATATTATGAACCTTACTGCAATGTTTTCAAATTGCACGTATTACATGTATTTGAAGACATTTTTTAATTGATCATATATATAGAGAGTAATTTCCATAATTTTATACATTCTAACTTTGTCTTTTTATTCAGATTCTAGAGAGAATAACTCCTGTTCCCTCAAACTACACCAGATCCTCCCGAAGTTCCTCTGTCGCCAGTCAACCTCAATTCGCTCAAATTCGTTCATCAATTGCATCCAAGAGTCCATCTATAACCAGCATGCATCGCGGCTCATCCTCTCGCTCTAGTCACGGTCACATGACCAAGGATCCTAATTTATTACTCCGCCCTGATATATGCAACATATCACAACCTAAATCGGTAGATGCATATCAAATTACATGTAAATTGTGAATAACTTATAAAACATTCATTGTCAATGTACCATGTAAACATCTATCTTATCATCATACCATCAAACTTTCTGTTTGAAAATTGAGATTTCATTTTTTATTTCATTTTTGGGTCACTTTTCAAATTCATAATTCGTTCACGCAGGTTTCACAGAACCCTCAGAAGGTATGTGATGATGACAGTGAAACTTCAGTGGAATCCAACACATCAGACAGTGGGAGAGGCGGGAGCGAGAGTGACGTTCAAACTGGCCCCAGTACCATTCATAAGCACAGAGAACTGGGTATGGAACTCATTTCCAAAGAAGTATTCAGGAAAGATTAGTCTAAAGAATTGGGTGAAAAGGAAAAGATGTTACTTGATACTTAAATTGTTAGAATATGATTTTCTTTAAAATTGATCTTTAAACATAGTTTAATTATTTCATTTTATCTGATAGGTTCCACGAGGTCGTTGAAAATTGTATACCAATCGGATACGAATCACCGATTAAAGCGCCACCTCAGTGAGCAGACGATTCCCATTCATGACATTCATTCTGGTCCGCTGGCTGCCAGCGAAGACCAAGAGTATATCATTATAAAAAATCCACACTATTGTCCTAGACCTCAAAATAATAGCAGCATAAGAGACAATGATAATCAATCGCATGACCGGAAGTTCAAACAAAAACCGTCGGTCCATTGGAACCCAGTTACACGCGTACTTCAAGGTAGTGTGGCGACAATTGACGAGCGTGATGACGTCAGTTCTACAACGTCAGGAAGTTACACGGTGGAGCTGGAGGATATGACGTCAAGAGAATATGCACATACACAAGTTTGACCAATAATGGTCAACATTCATAATGTTCGTCTCAAGCAAAAGTTACCATGAAGAAAATACTCCCTGTGTGTGTTGTGTGTGTTGGTGTGTTGTGAGTGGGTAAATTCTGTAAGTGTGATTTGAATGTATACTACAGTGATACTAAATCATTCTTTTGAGGATCCAGCGAATGTTCATCTTCTGAATGATATAAGTATAAGAACAATATGTTGTCTTCCCAATTCTTCATTCCCCAAGTGCCAAATCTTTTATATTAGTTCCATAACCAACTGTTCCGAATCGAAACAGTTATTTTAAAACTGTATACTACACAAGTATTTTGTTAATGTATGTATATCTCAGTAAATGAAAAATAAAAATTGATATTTATTGAATACCTGGATTAGTTATATTTCATAGAATACAAGTTCGTAAGAAAGAAAGCAATTGGGCTCAGTAAAGGGTGTGTGAAAAATTAAAAAAAAATTTAATACATGGGATGAACATCGAATTGATATTATCAAGGTTTCAACGCTTTCGAAATCTTCCTTCAAAGGGTTAATTTCTTTGTAATAGGTTTGGAGTATTTCTGGGGTAGTGATACGCACGAAGTACAAGTGACAAGAAGTCTGTTGAAAAAATTGTCCTGTATGAATAATCCTGTGTGAATGAATGATGAAAAAGCAGAATATTTTTTTGAAGTATTGCTAAAACTACTGTCGTTTCCTCTTCTCTCGCATTATGAAGGCTAAATAAGAGGGATTATCAACGATGGCTTTAAAATGAAGAATGTTGACAATAATTTATCACTTTAGTGGAATTTTGTTGACAATTTAAAAACAAAATTGTGAAATTGTTCAGTTTGTCAGCGAGAATGATTTATTATTCTTTCTTTTTTAACAGTTTATGCCAAAATATTAGCGCAAAACTTTTATTGCAGTGAATGGGATAAAAAAATTGAAATCTGAGACTTTTTTATTTATTTAAATAGAGGAAGAAAACTCTTTTTCGAATTCAAAAGAAATTTCTAAAAAAGACAAGTCTAATATGACTGCGGAACCATTCCCTTGTAAGAATTAATATTCTGTCACATGACCCCAGATAATGGGTGGTTTGACTTTCTTTTGTAATCCTTAAAATTCTGACAATTCTACGAGAGCGTTGATCGACACCATCTATAATTCTCGTATAAAGAGAACATACAAAATAGTTTTTTCAAAATTCAATTAAGCTAGGCCAGCCAAGGGGGGCATAATTGTGTTCATTGTGGAACTAATTATGAAATTGCATATTCATGGTCGTCCTATTATGAATCTATAACAAGAAACTGCATACCTCTGGACATTTAGTATAATTATTTGGCGGCACTTTAAAGAGCTTCACGATACTATGTTAAATTATACGCTAAGTCATTCTGATTCTTATATCACGCAATGTAAATAGTGAGAATTTACTATCCCCCTTTGAATGATTTCTCGACTACCCACCAACAAATAAGTTCTGCTAATTCATGTTTACATAAATAGAAATATGACATATTTGGTAAAAAAAAGTGAACTGTGATTTGAATAAGTTTGCCATTATAATGTGATTAAATAGAAGTTAATCCGTTTTTGCATGTGCCATGCACGTATACGTCGTATAATCTGATATGTACATTTAATATTTACACAATGTTTATTTTTAATTGATTAAAGTTTTATTAATGTACGTTCCATATAAAATTTCTTTTATATTTTTGGCGATAATGACATGCACTAGCTGCAGAACTGTAGCTATCTGCTTGTGAAAATTATCCGCTTTATCTGTCCGAATTTACACAAGCAGCGAGCTTCTGCAGCTAAAAGCAGACACGTAATATCTGGGGAGTTTTGTCAATGTGTGTTAAAATTTAGTCGTTTAGTTTCAATAAAAAGTATATTTATAATTTTTAAGCTGAAAGAAATGTCTTATCAGTGTGATAGAAATTATGGAGATAATTATAGAAATATATATATCTCATAGAATTCAGCTACATAGGATAAACATGTACATGTAAGCATAAAAAGTTCTTCCTCGATACAAATAGCACTGTGATTTAGGATTGGTCAAGTACAAGGTGTAAATCAAACGTGGACATTTAGAGTGGACTTAGCGTATTGTGTTTTACGATCACAAACACATCAACACGTCAGCCTCTAATTGCGAGCTGGACATGTTTATATCAAATGTTAACTAGTGCTAATTGTAACGGGAACCGTTACAGATGTTCCCCAAACGCTCCCCAACTCCCTTTTGGTGCCATATTCCCTGTAATCTCTATTAAATAAGAAATACTTTATGGAATTTAGACTTAATCAAGGTTTTCCCAGAAGAATACAAAATATATTTAAATTTAAGCATTGCAATGTATATTTATAATATATTTTTATACACTTAATATCAAAGCATTCAATCCAAAGGTATTAAAAATTGCAAATCGAGTGTATTTTTAATTTAACTCATTTCACGTGCACGTGTGATGATGACTACACCTTCTTGTAAATATTTATCTATGTTCTACATCCCATCCAGTTTGGTTGAAAAACAAGAGAGTTATAGCCATTTGAAGTTTCAGAAATATATATATTTCATGAATTTTTATCTTCATCATAGTAAAGGTAATCTTAATGAATGACTATATTTCAAAATTCCAAACATTTCGTCTAAAAACAAAGGAGATATAGCCATTTAAAGTTTCAGCCAATCAGATTGCAGCAAACGTGCATGCGCGTGATTTCATAAATTTTTTTCTATAACATATTGTAGGATATCCTAATGCATGACTATGTTTTAAATTTCAAAGCATTTCATCCAAAAACAACGGAGATATAGCCATTTAATGTTTCAGCCAATCAGATTGCAGCACGCGCGCATGCGCATGCTTTCATGAAAATTTTTATATATCATGCTGTAGATCTTCATAATGTAGGACTATGTTCAAAATTTCAAATGATTTTGACAAGAAACAAGAAAGATATTGAAAGCCAATCAGAGCTAAGCGCACGTGCATGCGCGTGAGATCTTGCTATCTTGACCATGCCATCTTGTCTATACTACTAATATATCTCTACATTATGAGTTTCAAAACATTTCATCAAAAAATAGAAAAGTTACAGCAATATACATTATATTGGTCATTTCACCTATTGCACGTGCGCGCTCTTGCAAGCACGTGCGCGCAAAATGACCTTCGTTGGGCAAATCTACATAACATGTCTACTGACCCTAAAAACATTTTACCTTAGTCCAATGTGTAGTTTACAAGATCACTCGTGGACAAAATTTTCCCAGGAAGAAGAAAAATAATAATAATAATAATAATAATAAGAAACAGAGTAAAAACAATATGTTCCCCAACTTCGTTTGGGGAACATAATTAAAGAAACGTTGTTAATTAATACAATATTGTGTTTTCTGCAATAAATAGATGTTTCGTGGTGGTATGTTACTGGTACAAAGGTATTGGCGAGGAGATATGTCATTGTTACAACAATTCCAAATGCGCAAAGAATGAAACATGATTGAACGCGTATTTTACATTTTTTATTCTACCCTTCAGGTATATAAATTGTACAAAGTAGTGTCTGATTGGTTCAGCTTTTACATACTAGTTTATTTTGGTTAATGATTGGTTGTATATTTTAGCCAGAGATTTGGATTTTTTGTCCCGTTTTTTGCTATATGTGAAATTTGATGTCAGACCTGACAATGCCCCCGCTGTACAACATAGCTGAAGTAAAGAAATTTGATACGGTGGCTGTATAATATAATATGAGGACATAAAATGAAACTATGGCCAAATGGTAATTGATTTAACTCCCGATTATTTGTAACACGATACCAGTTTTGTCTTCTTTGATGTTCTTCCTTTTGGTGGGGAAATACTTGCATTTGGGCGGTTTGGAGACTTTTTATTGAAAACTTACAAATAAATAAAAATTCGGCGACAGCTGACACAAGAGGGGATGTTTATATGTGACCTGACCACGAATCTAACCTTTCTTTTTACGGCCGTTTGATGACCAAATTATCAAATTGATCTAAACTTATTACAAGCCAACAGACTAGATATGTGTAATTTGGCATTAATTTGGAGAACCGTGTGATTAAACTTTCTACATATATCACGTTACTGGTCGACAAGTAGTCCAAGAATATCAGAAGTTAGGGTGACCAGTCTCTCACACAGTGGTCAGATCGATAACGATAAGAGGTTCAAATAAATTAAAAGGAGTTTTCAATGTTTAAAAGTCCTCTGTCCAAATATTTCTGATGGTAAACTTTAAACATAGATTGCTATCGATCTACCATTTGGGGGAAAATTAATCAAAAAATAATCATAGTAACTTAAGAAAGAATAACACGCCAGAGCTTGATTGGTTGATGCATTTTATTTCAGGAGATTTTTTGCGGTTCGAGCATAGTCTGGTCCGATTTATACAAAAAAATACTTCTAACGGCAAATAATTATTATTTGTTCCAGCATAGTTTTTTAACCTATTTCGAGTATGCTGAATCCAAAAAAATATGCTGGCCTTCATGAAAATGGCGTTAAAAAGGTCAAAATGGCGATTCAAAATGGCGGACATCAAATTTTTCTAATTTTCTCTTAATGTCGTTCAAAATGGAGAAATAGAGTGAATATCTAACTAAGTGTAATAAAACTATAAAAATTATAATAGGGTGCTAACATTATTAGTTAAACTCAGAAAATTTAGTCGTTTCTACACTTAATTCGAATTTTCTCTGATTTTTTGGTCTATTGTTCTATATTCCGCTTTGTTCAGGATTTTACTTTTCAAATTATCCATACACTGCAGATTTGTATTTTTTCCTCTGCATCTCACTATTCTACAATTGAATGATGGTGTAGCTGCAAGTTTAAAGTCAAAATGGCGATTCAAAATGGCGGAAATTCATCCTTTTTTAAAAATTATTTCTTAATGTCATTTACACAGGAGAAAGGATTCGTGAATATCTTACTGAGCGTAGTACAACTGTGTAAAATGCCAACAGAACACTAATTTGATCACTTTAAATCGGAAAATTTAGTCGTTTAATGTGTTAATTAGCTCAAAATGGCGATTCAAAATGACGTCTGATACACTCGAATTTCGTAGAAACTGCTTTATTCTGGTTCGTTTTGCAGAAAATAAATTACAGTTTGTTTTTTATATATATAGTATATATAGCATATTGATTGGTCCATTAAATATGAACAAAAATACTTGAAAAGATTCATTTTTCTCTGGAAATAGTTAAAACAAACTCGATTTAAGAGTTTCCAAATTTCCCTCTTCGTATTTGACCGTACGTGTTCCAAAGCCTTTGAGCCCCCGTCCACCTAAAATCTCTCCTGAATCCTGTCGTTATC